GCCGTGTCCCAGCCGCTTCGTGGGGCTGTCCCAAATCTTGGGGTTTGGTGCCGAAAGTGCGTTTGCGCGTAGTTCTCGGTCTCGACGTGCAGCTCGTGGTCTGTAAGTGTGAAACCAGCACAGCTGAAGGAGGCGCGGGTCAGGCTTCCCAGTCGTATTTTCCTGTTTTCATCCTGATTTCTAGGGGTTTGATGCTAGGTTTAGTGCTGAGGTACGTTCCCTTCGCGGGCTCGCTCGGGAGAGGGAGCAGAGGAACATTCTTCCCTCGAAGTGTACGGGAGAGGAGCGAGCGTTGAAAGGTTATTTCAGGTAGTTCCGTAAACGGCGTGAGGTTCGGTTTGTGGGACCCATACAAAATCTTTGGGAAATAAGCAAACAGTAGCCTTCAGGAAAATTAAAACGGTGACTTGAATAAAAATAGTTGTAAGGTAGTTTATGAGCACTGCTAGATTTTTTTTTTTTCTTAACTTGCTGAAGAAATAACCCCCACAAAACATGTAATAATTATGTAGAACAACTGGTATATAATTTTCTTAAATGAGAAGTACTGCATTTCATTTAGAAGTACCGGATTCTAGAACATGGCTTTTTTTGGCCTATGGATTTGATAACACCAAACGTGAAATTCTTGTATTTAAATAACCTCATTCTCTAACTTGAAAAGTGCCGTTATCGATACAGAATTTGTGAAAAACAGTAAAACCGATGGTAGATTATTTTGAGTACTTTTAAAAGCCTGTTAAGGGTAAGGGCACTCATTTTTACTCAAAATATTTTGGAGTACTGTAGAAGTCTTAAGGAATATTTGAGTTGACATGAAGTTTTTTTATTATATTGTTCTAAGCATCATGTAAAGAAAAAGCACAAAATGAAACCAAAAAGGCTTAACGGGATTTTCGTCTGGTTACGTTCTGCTGTAGAAATAGTCTTTCTCCAGAGTGGACTTAGCATCTCGTTGTGCAAAAATTGACTGTGGCATATGACTTCGTGTCCACCCACCCCGAGAGTAAAAAGTAAAAGTCAGAAATGGCAGATGCATTACCAGGTCTTAATTATGTCCTAAGAGAAAGATAATCGTCTGGGTGCACTCATAAAGACTTGATACTCCTAACTGTCTGCACCACTGAGAGAGCAAGCACATCTGATTGTATTTGCCTGTGCTGTGTGCTTTGAAAAATTAAGGAAAGACGTTGTTAAGCCTGGTAATTCCTCCTTGTCCTGTGGATTTATGCTTCAGGAACGGCTGAAGCTAAACGTTGTGACTGAAGGACTTAATTTTCTTTGTAGTTGTTCAGCACGTTTGTTATTGTTAGTCCCTAGGAGCAGGAGGTAGGTCCAAATTTCATGCTTTATCTGTTCAGTTTTGATGGCTGGCTGACGAGTGAATCTGATGGGTCTGCTGATCTCTGTGGTCAAGACTTCTGAAACACAGAACACGTTCAGCCTGTGGTATGGATCCGGTCCCTATTGGCTGGTCAGGAAAGCAAGCTTCTTACTAATGGAAACGGAATCCCTTGCAAGGAAGCAAACCTGCCGAATGTATTCTAAAATAGCCTGTTTGATCCTCAGTAAGCTGTCAGTTGGTTCTGAAAGTTGTGCCATCTCCAGGTGTCCCATTGCACTCAAAGTAATCGTGAAGACAGTAAACCTCTGCCTCAATATTCTGTATATTTTGCGGTCGTGTATCTGTTGGTGTACTGTGATATTTTGAGAGAGATCTAGCGTACAGCTTGTGGACAAGGGTAGGCTGTCCGTACCTGTGCATCTGGAGTGCTCTGGAGCTTTGACAAAAGCACTATTAATGTCCTGAAGCGAGGTGTCGGGACTGTGGTGCGTTGAATCTGGTTCCTCTTTTCAGAAGTGTTGATGGGTCGTTCCCATCTTCCCCGCTCCCCCTCTTTTGGTTGGAGGATCCTGATTACGTGAGACCGCTGACTAGAGCGTGTTGGGCAGGGTATGCTGGTGTGTGTAAGTTTTCAATTTACAACACTGTTATAAAACCATAATGCCTGTGAGAAGTAATTTATGAAGAGATCTGGTTCAGCCTGAAGCCTCAGAAAATTGGAATGGTATTTATTGGAAAACTGATAGTCTTTGAAGAACTAGAGGAAATGTCTTCATGCTTGACTTAAAGCATGGCGTGCTCTTGCTGAGCTGGTGAGCATTTAAGCCATTGATTCCCCCAGCCCACATTTAGTTCCAATGTAGGGCTTTTATTCCTCCTTTCTGTAGAGCGGTGAATGGTTTGAGCCACAATCATACTAAGGACGAAATTTTTATCAGTGAATCGTCAAGACGTCTGGAACAAAGCAGCACACATGGCTCAGGACAAAATGCGAGAGAACTGTGGGTAAAGCATTCGTGTTCAAGGAGATCCAGCTATGGAGCAGATTTCCAGAAGGTAGCAGGAAGAACTGAATCCTGAATTGTTTAGAAATCTACATTTTCTTTAAAAATATATGTTCCAGTGGAAGAGCAACTAAACTAAAACCTGTCCTGACAAACAAGCTGCTACTTACTGCTGTGGTGACAAAACCAAAGGAATAATGCAGTCTGATGCTGCGACGTTACCGGGCCTTAAAGACTAAAGACTTCAGGTGGCCTGAATTCCACTCAAGCCCCTTTTCTCAGTCAGTGGAGAAATGTAGGTGTTTTGGAGAGCAATTCCGAGAATTTATGTAAGATGCTGAACGGGGAGCTGCCTGAAAGCCAGCTAATAAGAAATAGGAGGCAGAAGGATTTATGTGGAATTTAGGCCATCTGAATATGGCCCTAAGATGCGACTTAGTAGTACTAAGTAAGGTGTATTAACACTAAGAAGACTTGGCTTCAATTTCTATCCATTTCATCTGCTGCTGATTACTAAGCAAATTTACCATTTAACCAGCTATTTAAGGGTGGGGGCTTCCTGGTTTTGTTTCCTGGCAGGAGTAAACCCTTGCACCAGCACAGCCTGGGGCCAGCCTGGCTGGGGAACAGCTCCGCTGAGAAGGCCCTGGGGGTCGTGGTGGACAGCCAGCCGAGCACAAGGCAGCCGTGTGCCCTGTATTAACAGCAGCACAGCCGGTAGGTCAAGTGAAGCGATTATCCCCTTCCACTTGCAACTCGTTAGACCACATCCAGAATACAGGATCCAGTTGTACCACCCCCCAGGACAAGGGAAGTGTTGGTAAACTGGGGTGAATTCAGTGAAGAGCTACGAGATTGTCTTGAGGTGTGAGCTTTTGCCTTGTGAGGCGAGGCAGAGGGAGGTGTGCCTGTTGTTGAGCCTGGAGAAGAGGCTTGGGGGGCCCTTCCAGCATCTTTGGGGAGGTTTTCAAGAGAGAGCAAAGCCAGGTCCTTCCCAGCGGTGCGTGGTGGGAGGACAAGAGGTAGCCATGCGCCGTAGCAGGCATGAACTTAATTCAGAGCGGTCTGTGCCTATTAAGGCATTTTTCACCGTGAGACCAGTCGAGCAGTGGGACTTGCTGCCCAGAGAGGTTGTGCAGTCTCCTTCCATGAAGGTTTTCAAGATCCAACTGGATAAAGCCCTGAGAAAGCAGGTGTGATCTCATGGGTGACCCTGCTTGGAGCTGGAGGCTGAACCAGAGGCCCCCTGAGGTCCTTTTCCACCTGAATTATCCTGTGGCTCTGTTTAGTTTCTGCCCATGGAGCAGTTGCAGCGGAAGTTTCTGACCCAGCTTATTGAGGACTGCATGTGGTGTGGCAGTGCAGGTTTACTCACCATACTTGGAGGAATATAGGAAGCACTCAAGCCAATCTTAAGCAGCTTAAGGCTTTATTTGTTTAATTGTGCAGTTAGAGTTAGAAGAACTGCTCTTCATCCTGAGATCCTGATCTACATCAGGGTTTGCCATGTAGTAGGGCCTGAAGGGCTCTCAAAAGTTTCAGTACTTTGCTTCGAGATACGGATTGGGATCTAATGATTTCGAGGTTGTTGAAGGAGATGACCTGGACAGGGCCGTATCCTAATCACACCTCCTGAATGGCTATTACTAAATCCAGGACTATAGGGGGGGGAAAAAGTGCAGCTCTCTGAATGAAGCTCAAATCTCTTTCTCTATCACCTTCTAAGTCAGTTAGAGAAAAGTTGTTCAAAGTTCAAAATAGTTATAGACTCAGCCCGTTTCAGAACTTGCAACAGTCTTTACTGATCTTTGGGAAGGAATTACTCACACGTGTGTCCTCTCGTTCCTTAAGGCAGCCTGCAGCTCACGGGCAGTCAAGGTGCTGACTTAGTGTCTCTAATCTTGGAGGAGGAGGCGGCGGCGGCAGTTTGTCAGGACATTTGCATTGGGAAGTCATGTTTCTCTCAGCGTTCATGAGTCTTGCTAATTACAAAGATGTGCTAGTTAATTACAATATCTGAAATGGGACAAGCTGGCTTCTCAAGTTTTAAGAGTTTCCTGAAAAGCAGGAAAGATAGGATTATCGGAAGTTACTGACTTAGGGATTTTCACTATTGATAGTGGAAAACAGCAATAACAAACTGCAAGCCTTTTCCCACTTCACTTAAAAATTGGAAACCTAGTGCTTTGTTTTTTCAGGTACTGTGTAAGTATCGTTCTTACCCTGAGTGCTTGTATGTACTAGATGAAACCGGTATGAGACCTGGAAGGGGAAAATAGGTAATAAAGATTAGAAGTGACTTGCTGAAGATTAAGCAGCAGAAGAGCAGTAGCACTGCACTGCCAGATCCAGCTCCCCATCTATTTGCTGTGTTACGTTACTGTCCATGTAGAACATTCTCTCCTCCTGTGATAAACTCATAAGGATCCTGTGAACTGAACGCTACATAAAAACAGTTTTTCTGCATCTTTAGAGGAAAGACACTTCTGCCTTTCCCTTACTGCTGTCTGGGAAAGGATATGGAACATGCCTCACTTTGTTCAGGTTGACTACTGAGACGTGTGAGAAACCTCGACCAGCTGCAGGAAGGTTTTGCATGGGTTCTTTGCTTCTTGACCAGAAGACTTCAGAGCAATTTGTGCAGTATCATACATCAGCATGCATGATGACATAAGGTTTATTGGATCGGACATACAGGATGATTTCTACCAACCAAAGTTTTAAGACAGTATCAGAATATAGTCTGTGAAACAGTGGAGCATGGTCTGTGGTTGTTTCACCAAAGCATTATTAAAATCAAAGTTTATGGTCTCATTCTGTGAGAACCTATGAAAAATGTGGGAAGTGGAGCACGTATGGTTAGTTCTTAAAAGTTAGATGTGTGTGTAATTTGTGTTTGGTAAAGAGGATGTCTGTAGTCTTGTGTTTGAAGTATGTGGGTATGGAGAAAGGCAGAAGGG